GTCTTTAATCATAGGTGATGGTAGATTAGTCGGAGTCATGTGCTGAGTGCACGGTATTTATAGTTCGTAGTGGTCATCCGCGTTGGCCGGGCCAACGCGGGGAGCGAAGTGATCTTTGTTCACGCGTTTCCGATGGAGCAAAGTCTAGAGGCCGCTTTCTGCGCGAATTGGCGTTCTTGTGCGTCTGGACTGTATGTGGATAATCTGCGGTTTTCGCCAGTTCTTGCGGTCGCTTGGTAATGCTACTAAAAAAGATCTACTCATGATCTTTTGGTTTGATTTATGCGATTGATCTTTGCATTTCAAAATCTCTAGTTTTCCTATGTCCTGCGCCTATCAATAGCGGTAAACGACTTACGGGAAAAGTTGCTTGCGTCGCAGATCTCCCACATTGTTTTTTTAATCATAACTATCACAACCAACACGAGAGACGAGGCCGAAACTGAGCAAGGCTTTAAGTTACTCGTGACAAAATTAGCATGAGGAAAGTGCGAGGGAAAGAGTGTCTGAAGGTGCACCTTTGCGTGATCTCCAGCACACCTGGCGACCACCAACGAATACGTTTCTCAATGTAAACTGTTTACTTTAACTAAAACCAACAAGAACTCCTTTTAAACACCAAGGCTCTCCGTCTGGCCCTGATAGTGCTGGCTGTGTTCTAAAGCTCTGCCGTGGTCGCGTGTTTGAGTCCCACCGAGACCAGAGAGTTTTTCGCCATTTGGTTGGTGGGGTTGTTGTACTTTGTGTTGGGTAAATCCGGCCGGAATGTCAATTATCGTTTAGTTCGGGGTTTTCGTTTCCCTCAGGAATTAATGCTAACTGAAAGTTAGTCTTTCGGAGAAAAGCTTTTATGGACTCAGTTTGAAAGGTGAGACGAAATCCACTAGTTTCGGTGAGGATACCTGTGTTATATCCATGGGCTGTATACAACGCGGGGAATTCAGAAGAAGTAGATGCGATCAGTAGAACAAGGATTTTCTTTTCTTGAGGCTTCGGATTCTGCCGAGAATCCTTAATCATATATAACTGTAGAATGGTGTATGACATGCACAGATTGTGCGGTATTTATATTTCGTAGCGGTCACGCGACCGCATGCATACTATAATTATCAGCTCCTGTACCTACCGCTTGGGGTCGTAATTGGTGCGCTGATGACTTGGCAGTTCGCTTTCGAGTCATCAATGGCCGCCGCGGTTTCGTTGTCCATCTCGTATGCCGTCTT